TCGTTCGGAACTAAATCTGAATACCAAAACAAACAACAATTGATATGTCTGTTACTACTTATCAGAACTGTAGGTTATTTTCTTTTTTCAGTTATATATACTTACTTTATTTCAGTTCCATGTTTATTTTGATCCAACTGGATTTTCAGCTCTCACAAGAACAGAATAGAGTGTTGTTGAGAAAGAATTAGTTAAAATTTACAGTAAAGAATTTAGACTCACAACAACATCATCATTATAAAGTCGAACAGAAACAGTGAAAATGAACAACATTGACAAAGCATCACAAGAATTTCTCAAATCAACCAACAAGGATCTACAACACGGAACATCACTAACAACAGTTACGATTGAAGACGACAGTAAATGTTATCATAATTTAGCAACTAAATTGTAAGTACCATGAATATTATTTTAGACAGTATGCTTAAACAATATTATTAATTCTGAAAACGCAACCAAATGTCGTCAAAATTAAAGATAATCCTAATTTAGTAGAGATTTCGTTTTAGCTTACACATAATCTGATTGAATAGTAGCTACTAGCTGCCAGCTAGTAGTGCTCTTCATTCAAGGATGCCCGCCTACACTGAGCATTTCGTTCCATTAATTGCTATCGATCGAATGAATAGGCAAAATAAATTTCTCAATCAAGACCAACTCTTTGCGCTGGAGAATCGCCGATCATAAAAGTGATACTTACTAAATCCACACCAAGTTCATACCATGAGATCATCCATCTCCTTTCCAAAACAGAATGCGTACTATTAATATTTTTTTGCAAATTTAACAGAAATATAACTATTGTTGATGCAGACTTCAGAAAATCGACGAAATTTAGACGCGATAATTCGAACAGGTGTGTCTCTAGATTTTTTTTGATGATTTGCGACTAAATTCTTGATCTTCCCAATGAAAAACAGCTGAAATAATAAAAAAAATCGAAAATGCTTTGATTCAGACGACTTCTTCTAAATTCCGTATATATTAAAAGTTTTCTGTCAGATACAGAGATTTGTCCTTTTTTTTTCAACCGATTTCGAAGAAACCAGTTTGTTTCCAGAGATCGAAATTATCAATCTGCCTACATACGACTTTATTTGGCTCAAATGACCTGTGTTCTTACATTGGAACTAGTTTTCACTGAAACGAAGAAACTAAGCGATTTGAAAATACAATTCAAAAATTTCTTAAGATGAATAAAGAAGAAATTGTTAGAGTCTATATAATTCCTAGCTGATTGATGTACTAAGATCTTTCATTGGGTCGAGCATACATTGCCATTTTGTTTTGTGGTGATGTTGTACAACTTCAGAGGTACTTCGTTGTTCATCTTTTTCTATTGATGCATCATGTTGTTTCATTCGATTCAAAAGTCCAATTTTCAATGATATCAGATGGCCTCTCTTGAAATATTTAATTTAACGAATTCAAATTTTTATTTTACAAACTATTGGATTTTGATAGAGCTTGAGAAGATCTTCAAATTTGCTAGCGGACTCTGGACTCTATCCAATACTACAACCGTGAAAAACTAATTTTACTCAAAAAAAGTAACTTTTCCTAATATTTTAGCAGAATGTCATTATTAGAGATTCGAATTAGGCTTACAAGGAAATCTTTTTAAGCGCCTCCCTCCGATTCAAACCAGCTCTTGTCTACAGATACTACTTAGTGCTCTAGTCAAAACCTTAAAAAGATTAGATCTATTATCGCTTCTTTCAAAAGTTCTTCACATTTCATTTCTGTTCCAAGAGGCAACGGTAAAAGGTTAAGAGATTCGTAAGCCTACGAAAATATGATGCAAAAGCAAAATAATGGCTTTTAGAAAAGAGGATTCAACTGCATTCTAAACATATTCCTTCTCATTGGATATACTCAAAAAGAGGTCATATCGAACTGAACTTTTTCTACTTTACTTTTTGGTGCAAACTCGGTATATTGATCATATCATGAGATATCCAGAGGATGTCGTGGAGTTTTCTAGATACTACTTCTAAATATTCAAGAATAAGTTTGTGAACGAGTACAGCAAAAAAGAAAATCAGCGTTTTCTCTACCTCAAACTCAGGTATATCAACATATGAATTTTTGCCACACTGAGGGCTCTATGATTCGACAATGACAAGAATTGAAAATTTGTTATCACCAATAGATAAAACGGACATTAAACGATATTACGTGTACAAACATTTATTTTGCTTTTGCATCACATTTTCGTAGGCTTATGAATCTCGGAACTTTTTACACTTTCCTCTTGGAGCAGAATTGAAATATGAAGAACTTTTGAAAGAAGCGATAACAAACCTAATCTTTTTAGGATTTTGACTGGAGCACTAAGTAGTATCTGTAGGCAAGAGCTCATTTAAATCTGAGGGAGGATATCTAAAAAGGTTCCCTCGCTAGTGTCGATATTACGGAAACTACACTCAATAACGACATAGTGCCAAGTCAATCGCAGATCGCAGTTTTCTCTGCGAAGACGATTCGGAGGAAGTCCGTTGTCATCCTTTTTGAAAGAGCAACTGGCCATGATTATGGAAATGTAAAGTTATTTGAGTCGGTGCATCCTATTAGTTTCCAAGAAATTCATTTTCCTTCCAAAGTTTGAGAAAGGCAGCCACAATAGACATATTAGGCATAATGAACGTATGGATGGTAGTAGGCGTAGAGGTGATCATGGTCGTGACTGACATGATCGATCTGATTCATTTTCCTAAGCACAACAGTAGACAAATGGACTTGCGAACAATAGTTGCCCTCTTGCCCGCTGCGAAACATGCACGTATACATATACCGCCTCATTTTTTCAGATAGAACTGTATTTCTGTTCTTCTACCACACCGCTCCTCACGAGATTGTTGCGCAAAAATTTCCAGCAGCTAGACATTAATTCGATAGATTACCAACTTTTGACTTAGTTTTCATTAATTTAGCACCAAAGTTCATTTCATGCTTTCATTTCAGACTCATTAACAGAGATTTCCACTGAGTCCAAGCCATCGTTGCATCCTCGAAGGCATTCCATCTTTGGTGTTTAGGTCGATTTTCTGAAAGCTATGCAGAAGTCGTCAAAAGACGATTCACTTTCCGAACTCCTTAGATTGTAGTAATATATGGGATTTGTGGAAATTTTCTTGATATGTGAAATTAATTTGATTTCTGGATGCTCGTTCGATGTCCGGATAATATTAGCCAATGCTGTAAATCCTTTATTTGGAAATGAAATTTTTAACTTTTCGCCATAATGATTAGAAACATTCATAATTACAACTGCTGGCATATTTCTAAAATGTAGATATACGCATTATGGTGAAAAATATCAGAAAAAGAAATATTTTTTTCCTTTCTGAAATTACATACTGGACAGATTCTTCTGGTTTCGTACATTGCAATGGAATCGGTGTAAAATTTTTGAGTTTCTGAACGAGACTAGATAGATCCACATATTCATCATTTTGATGTACTTGTAAAAATTCATCACGAAAACATTGTATCACTTCAGCCATCTGAAAAAAAGAATGACGATGATAATTACCATTTAATTCATAAATATAGGAAGTTAATTCTAGAATAGGGTGAGAGTGTATGCAAAACTGCACTTGTACTAAACAAAATCTGTTGTTATCCTCAATTCTGAAGGGAAGAGTCTTGATCTTGAGGATTGAAAAGACCGTTCATTTTAGTATGCTGACAAAGCGGGATGAATCATCGATTCATTATCAAATCATGAGCGTTAATGTGTTTTGATTGGTCAGTTTCTATCGATTATTTCTCGGCATAAACATTTTTTTGGAAATAATAAAAAACGCAGTTTGATAGAGAAAAGTTTTCTCTATCGACTAGTATAAATCAAAAGTTCGGCCCATTCATTTTTTGCGAGAAAACGTCGTACATAACGCATTTGATATTGATTCACTTAATACGCTATCCTTTTCTTTCTGTGGCAGCTGACTATTTGTTGTTCTTGTCTTGTCATTTGTCATTTCGTTCGTCTCTACTTCTGTTTGCTCAAATAGATGATCAATCAGAAACGAGAGATGATAGGCAGCACTATATGTAATGCTCTTATATGTGTTCTCATGACATTTTCAAGATGAATTTTCGGTTTTTCGAATCCAGAACTAATTTTTGTAGTTAGAGCAACTTTTTTTTACATATGAGTGGTTCAATTTGAGCTGAATAGAACAACATTTCAATTTCTAAAGATCGTCGTTTATCTCTGTATCATTGCATTCATCAAAACACGAGATATCACCTACACTTCAATTCAAAAAATCGCTGACATCTAAAAAATACTCGAACAGAAATATGTCTGTCCAATTGCCCAATGGTGATTGAAATCGATATCAAATTAACTTGAAACTTTCTTGGCTATCAGAGAAATTCGAAACTTTCCTTGAAGAAACAGTAGAATTGATGATTTTAAATTGCCATCCGAATCGAAAAGTTTCTCAACAGCTATTGAATCGAATTTTATTGATGATTATAGAATCGATTAATCTGATATTGAAATCGATCTGTGATTCTCATTGGAATGAAGTAAACGTGCTTTCCTCACCATTCTTTTAAGTAATTCGATCTTTTAGAAAGTGAGAATTGACAAACTTTTGAACAAACAAAGTTGATGAGCATTTGGATCAGGTGTTATTTATTTTTGAAAAATGAGTTGTTTTATTGTAGTCTTGTGAATAAAAACGTTCATAAGTCAAAAAAATACTGTTTCATCTTGATTGAAATTCAACGCAATTGTTATCTTTTATCATTGAATCTGTCACTGAAGTAGATGCATTGATTTTATTTGCTTGTGCAAAAAAGAATATTACCTGTTTTTTCTTTCATTCTAGATGATCAACATTTGAAAATGATTCAAAAGTTTTACTCAGATATAAATAATAGAAAATATTTGATGAGTAGAACATTATCGAGTATAACTCTTTCAAAAGAATACATTTCAATTCATTATTTTAAGTTCTATTGTTGATCAAAATGTTGAAGAAATGTCAGCTTCCACATCATCAGATCATAACGATGAACCGATTGGAAATCTCCTTGGCGCAACAAGCGTTGACGCAAAGAAGAAAAGTGCAAATTCTTCTTCTAATCAACAAGTAAGAGAAGATGGTCATGGTCCACGTCATCTACTTGAACAAGATGCTTATGGACAAAGAAAAATACTTGGACAGGATGAACATAGATAGCAACAACAACTGTAGACAAATGCTTCATTTCTCATTATCAATGAAACTTTGTTTTTCATTCAATATCGTTTTGTTCATCGATTTAGTGAGCAATTTTTGAAACAAAAACTATTCTTGCCGTGGAATATTCTAATAGAATCATTTTTTTCTTGTCATTGATGGATTGAAATCAATATGAAAATTTCTCTTGATAGTGATCTTTAATATCAATTTAATTTTCTCCAATAACAATCAATTTCAGTCAAAATCACAAAAAATGTCAAACTTAAAATTTGAATTCAATTGACAGTTAAACTTCAACTGAAGCGTCATTTTCACTTGATGCTTCAACTTTCAAATTTCGAACGAAATATATATCACTGGGAAATTGTACTACTGAACCTAATCCGAAGGCATCGTACTGGATGATATTGCCTTGGAAAAGAAACCAAAGGACATAACACTGTGTCACCACTGTTCGAAGCACTCGACACTACTCGAGAATGGCATCGCTTTTCACGTGAAGAGGTAAGGTGCGTAATTATTATATCTACGTAGTGGTATGGAATTCTGCGTATGCCTATTTTGGTTCGTTTGATACGGTGGGAAATGCATTCGTCTCCAATTTCATAAGTAGGATATTGCAGATGTCATTGAGAAATTTGCTTCTTTTGTTTTCGATTGAACACTTGAAATCTTAATTGAAACTGATAATTCTATTGAAGTCTAATCTTCAATTGAATTCAACTTTTAATGAAAATCAAAACTAACAAAGCTAGACATTTTTAGTAAAGATCAATTCTCAGAATAAATAAAAAAGACCGATATCTTTCAAATGATTCCTCAGAAAGATAATCATTATGACAATGATTAGTCGATATGACTAAATGGCTTATGTTTGACCGAGATTTTACTTTTTGATAAAAAAAATTTGAATAAGAGAATACTTATCTCTGGTCTAGACAATAAAAAGATTTGCTAGAAAATTCGTTTCAACCGAATAATGGAAATAATCATGTCAATAGTCAATTGCGATAGAATTTGATTAGAAAAGAGATGAGAAGACGAATTGTCTTTTTTTTAATTGATCTAGACCGATTTTGATTATTCGAGAAAAACATTAGGAAAATGAATTCTATCCATTGAATAAAATTTTGCTTGTTATATTAAAATTCAATGCAATTGTTTTGTCTTGATTTATTGATCAATTAACTTTCAACGGTTGAATTACAATTTGTTGAAAGAGATGAAAAAAGAATTATTGTGAAAAAATCCTATATTTGAAACTTATTCATTAAACTTGATTGAATCCTTCAAACACTGATGAAGAGAAAAATTTCAAACTCAATTCTTTTAGTCCAGAATTTGTTCAATTTTAAGTTTTAATCAATTGTCTTCTTCGAATGAAATCTAATTTAAACGATCAAAACTCATTCATTGATATTTTATCGACAGATTTATTATCAAAATGATTGCGGGTTGAAATATCTGAATGAATTTGGAAAATCTTATTATTGTTCTTACGCCATTTCGTAGTACATCCATAGAAATATTTCTCTATCGATTATTAAATAAAGCATTACGAATACAAAATATTCATTTATTATATCTTTTTCGATTTTTTTTATTTCTGACATTCATGAAGAATTAAGAAACAATCAATGTTCAAAGAAAATTCAAGTTTATCGAGGTCAATTGATATCCATTGATGAATTTTATTTTCTAAAACATGGCAAGGAAAACTGATTTCAATGAGTTCATTTGTGTCAACCACAATAAATCGTGAATGTGCTTTATTTCATTTGAAAACAGAAAATAATGATCAAGATTTACGACAAGTTTTATTTCGATACTAATCCTCAGCAAACTCGTCTTCAAACATTTGCTGACATAACACATCTAAGTGATTTTTCAATTGAACAAGAAGTTTTAATGATGTTATGTTCAATATTTCGATTAGAAACAATCGTTGGCAAATTTAATAAACAAATTTGGTTCATTTGAACGACTTTATGTAGTAATGAACATTATGATTTAAGATTTGTTTTTGATTATTTGAAAAATTAATATCTTTCGGATGATGATGGAATATTACTTTTTGCCAATATTCTTAGTGATATGGCTCATTTCGATGATGCACAAAAATATTAAGAATAGTTAGGTGAATAATTACCAAATAATCATCAAAATCTTCTACAACATTATCAAACTTTTGGCTAAGTTTTATTTGAAAAAGGTTTTCATGAAGAAAGTTTACATTATTTTCGTTCATCTTCTTAAATAACAGGTGGTCTAGATTAAATTGCCCGTCTTTGTGAACTACGCTTTGGTTAACCATCTAACCTTATTTAGAAAACAAAGTACAGAATTGGATAGAGTGAACAAAACTCTACATTTCGAAATAGAAAACTAAATTAATATTTGCTCTTTTCGAATTAGAAATTTTGAAAACTTGATATGATCAAAAAGTAGTATTGCTTGCTGATCTACTATTTGAACAAATTGTACGACTCTTTCGACTTTTCTGTTGCAACGATTAACCAGTTTGAATCTTACCTCAATACATAGGTCAAGCAAAAATGTCAGAAGACATGAATAAAGATAAACAAGATGAGGTGTGATCTGGCGAATACTATAGCAATTATAACCAGAAACTTTTGCTAATCATCAGCTTCTATCCGTACGGTGAAAAAAGTATTCTTTGTATTGTATCTGCGAATGATTAACCTTACCAGAACTGATACCCGTTCCCGATAGAGGCACTATGAAACAATACTCAATTAATAAATCACTTTTGGTTCATACCTAAGAAACTTTGTGTCAAAAATAATAAAAAAATATCTGGTAAAGCTGCTACTAACAATTGACTTGCTGAGAAAGAAATCCAATCATTACCCCTCAGATAAAGCTCTTGGAAACATATTATCAATATAAGCATGCCAAATCACTATGCCACAATATTATCACTCGACCTATGCATTGAGACAACATTCAAAATAATTGATCGTTGCAACAAAAAAGTCGAAAGAGTTGTACAATTTGCTCAAATAGTAGATCAGCGAGCAATACTACTTTTTGATCATATCAAGTATTCAAAATTTCTAATTCGAAAAGAGCAAATATGAATTTAGCTTTGTATATCGAAATGTAGAGCTTTGTTCATTCTATCCAATGCTGTACTTTGTTTTCTAAATAAGGTTCAACGGTTAATCAAAGTGTAGAGCACAAAGATCGGCAATTTAATCTGGGCCACCCGTTAGTAGTATACTATTTCAATAATCTTAATTTATCACTCAAGTACAAATTTGAATAATTTTATAAATCGTGTCAATCAAAACTAACTAAGACTGAATAACGAAACAAAAAAAAGAACAATTGATTAGTCTATTAGTTCTTATTAGAACGGTAGTTTCTTTTCTTTTTTAAGTTATATAGAAATAAATATGTGTAAATTTTTCTATAAAATCTCAACAGAAACAAAAGCAAAAAAAACAACAATGAGTAAGTGGAGGATCAGAAAAAGAAAAGAAAGAGAAATACAATTAAACACTACCAATAATAACAATATGACAGCAAGATATAAAGAAATAGAAAAAAAAAAAGAAAACAACAATGATAACAATTTCTTTTGTTCGCATAGAAACACAATGCAAATAAAAAAAGAAAATAAGCTTCATTGATCACTGTCTTAATGTTCTGTTCGATGATTAAGTAAGGCCATTGTTAACTAAAATACAAATATAAACAAAATTCAATAAGATTAAAATTGAATTTTTCAAGTTAAAATTAAATTAATAGAACATTCATGTTTTTCAAAAGAATATGTCAATTGATTAGTATAGCTTCATCAATTATAGAGAACAGACACCAAAATAAATAAAGCCTTGAAGATAAGGACCAACTAGCAAAAGAAATGCTGAAGTCAATACTAAAAAAATGCAAGTATTTTAAACAGAATTTCTCATTAGATGAATCTGACAGATTAGTAATGTTATAATTCATGCGTTGGTTTTCTTTAGCTTTAATTTGTTGATCATATAAGTAAGAAAATTCTAAAATGATTTTATTAAAAAGGTCTTTTCTACATCGAAATCTAATATTTTACATTTTTCTATCTATGTACAAACTTATTGAGCAAAGAAATGACAAATTCTTCACTTAATTTTCTTTATACTGTAGTAATGCAAACAAAAAAAAATAAAAAAGTACCTTAAAATTCATCAGAAAGATTTGAGTAAAACCCTTTTACAAACGCCCCAATTTCTTAAAACTAAAGAAGAAATTGCGGAACATCGAATTCTTTTAGCACAAAGAACACCAGATTTTAAGAAACAAAACATCTTCTACACTCGTATGAGCAATGAATACTTTGAAACGAGTTCATGCCTTTGGCTTATTGCTGCAACGTTACTGCACTTTGATGGTATTTTTTAAATGAATGTCGTAGTTTCCTTCACAAGAAAATCACTCTATTCATAGTTTGAGCTCATATTAGACCTATAAGAATGCATTGATGAGATTATCGAAAGTCTAAACTGTTTCGTTCCCATGAACTTTAAGAGCAGAGTTAGGATCGTTTTACTAAATTTTCGATCGAGCTTTAAGTATATACCGAAAAATCAAAAAGTAAGATTTCGACATGGAATTCAGCCCATAGATTGACTATACTTTGTAAAATATCTTCAAAGTTTCAATCGAAAACAATGTTGCTTTGACAAAATATTCAAAAACGAATATTTTTTTTCTTTTGGAAATTTGATATCTTAACAAAAGAGCATTCATTT